TATAAAAATAACAAACTTCTTCTAATCAACTAATGAAAATGAGAAAGAAATGATAATGAATAAGTAATAAAGGTAAAATCAGAGAATAATAAAATATAAATGACAAAGAAAAAAGAGATGTTTAAGAAATGTTATGAAATGAATGAGAATAATGAGATAAAATGAAGAGATAAATGAAGATATAAATTAAAATAAACACTAAATAATAAAAATAAGAAGAAAAAGAGAATTAATACACAACAGAAACAATGCAAAACAAACAATATGATAAAAACAAATAAGAATAAAAGAGATAGAAACAAGAATGTTGGTAACAACAATGAATATAAAATGAAAAATACAGAAAATGAAATAAGAAGAAAGAAATATAAAGATACAAGAAATAATAAACAAAGAAACATAAATGAAATATAATAAAACAAAGAAACAGAATACTAAAAATGAATGACTGTATGTTATTGATAAAGAAAATATATTTATTTGAAAACGATTAAAGATAAAATAAAATATGATAAAATAAACTCAATAATTTCACTGAAAAGATGGAAATTTATAAGGCATTTAATTAAATAAAGAATAAAAATGAAATGAATAACATCAAATAATTCATTAATTAATGAATAACAACATGAAACATTTCATAGAATTATTTAATAATAAAGACACACTCATCTTAAGAAAATAATGTCAATAGAGAATAATTTTATCAATGCTTCATTAATTACTTTTTATTATTCTCTTTATACTATCATTCCTATAATTCTTAACTCATTAAGACTTTCCATTCTTAATTTTGATAAAAATAAATTAACTTTTTTAATAAAACATCAATGATACATTAAATCGATGTTAATGAAATAAAACACAATTTGTTGTACTAATTACATTGTATTTTTATATATTGCTATTTTATTATCATATTATTTAATGTTTATTCATTTTATATTTAATTTCTATATATTAGCTAATTTTGATTGTAATATTTATTGAATTAGTAACAATAAACACATCAAATGTTCTTATTTTTATTATCACATTGTTTTAAACACAAGTTAATTTAATTGATAGTATTAAACAACTATTCTTATACAAATTTTATGAATAAATAACTGTCATTGTTGTTTGTACTACTACTCTCTGTTGTATAAATATTCATTAACGTTAATGAATAAATACAATATGATGGTGTTATGTACTCAATCAAACACCGTGTAAATATAGTATAAATTAGTAACCTATTTATTTAAACTTAATGCATTCTGCTCATAGTAATGGCAAATGATCAATAAAAGCAAACAAGTCGTATTGAATATAATTATTTATTATCTCATTATTAATTTGGTACATCAACAATAACATAATGAAATGCAATATTTAAATATATTGAAATAACTTTATGTAGTTGATACTTGATTGTTGGATGAAAATTCATAAAAGATAGAACTTGTAACACAACCCTTCCATTTAATGAAAACATTTGAAGATAGAATTTGTGAATGAAAGTCTTTTATCAATTGCATTTTTGTTAAATAGCTATTATTCTATTACTTTATTTGATAACAACCCAACAATCCATTTGTTTCATCTTTCTAAAAGAAGCATGTTATTGTAACGATTAATCAGAGTGTTGTTTCATTACCAAACAAGAATGTAGAACATTTGTGCTATAACTATATATCTATACTATCTAATGTGTTTATGTTATTAATCCAAAAAAACAATCAAAATTGTTATTCTTCCTTTTTCAATCTTTATTATTCCCTATTCAAAAATGAAAATCAACCTTCTAGTCATAGTTTCTAATATCCACTATCATGTTGAATATTTCATTTTATTTTCTCTGTGAATTTATTTAGTGGTTGGATTGTGTTTTGTTGGAAACACCCATTCCTTTCACTTCATACAATATGACAGAAATAATAGAAGAAAATTTCATTTAATCACTTTAATAATCACAACCTTATTCAATATACCAAACACAATTTCCAAGACATTTACTAATGAAAATGAAACATTTTTATGAATGTATTTAGAAGAGACTGTGATGGAGAAATACGTGATGTAATTTCAATTGATTCATTTCATAATAGTACCATTTCACTGAAAAATAACGAAGAGTGTTAATACCTTTGTTAGGTAGTGATTAAATTGCTTCATTCACACGTTATTCTAGTTTCACTTTTGAGTTATGAAGTGGTACATCATCAACTCTTTTATTTATTGTTTGTCTCTATAACACATAGTTGAGTGATTTATCCCATGTTATTCTTTCCTCGTTTACAAAAGTTATACAATTATCATGACTATATTAATTCATACTCTTATGTAGACAAAGTAATAACACTCTCAAGATTGTGTTGAAATCCATTAAATGAGAAGGTTAGTAAATGAGTGGAATAAATGTTTAACAATTACCAAACAAACAACACAATAAAGAAGGAATAAAGTTCTAATAAAATGAAAAGAAAAAACTGGAAAAAGAAGAAGAAAAGGATGAGTCAAATCAATCTCATCAGAACAAAACCAAAAGAACAGAGTCGATGTACTTGCAGCAATCCATTATATAGTTTTAGTGTCTGTGCACAATGTAAAAAAGTTATTTACAGGAAAGACAAAGAGTCCGAAACAAGAAGAAGAACTGTAGTTCTATCAATTGAAATAACGCGACTTTTAAATGAGTTTCAAAACATTATTGAATGGTATGATGGAAGTAAACCAGAAGAATTTATACCCATTCGAGATGAATTTATTGAAAGAGTTAATGGAGTAGTGAAAGAAGCATTTGAAAAAGAAAATAAAGAAATAGAAAGAAGAGAGAAAGAAAAGAAAATAAACAAGAAACGAGAGCAAATAATAGAAGAAATTATTAAAACAGAGAATGACTATTATCAAGACATTGAATTAATAGAGAAATATTATATGCCAACATTAAAAAAATATATGAAAGAAGATGGAAAGAAACTAGAAGAAAAATTAAAAGAAATAGAAGAAGTATCATTAGAATTTAATAATATACTGAAAAACAGAAAGAATATTATTGAAGAAATCTATCAAAGAATTGAGAAACTAAATGTTTATGAAGAATATTTTATCCTTTATCATAAGAATGTCAAAACATTTGAAAGTATTAGAAAGAATGAAGAATTTGAAAGTATTAGAAATAAAAACAAAGAACTTAGACAACTTGATATAATGGATTTTCTTGTTAAACCAATTCAAAGAATAACAAAATATCCATTATTTATTAGAGAAATTAAACCATTATTAGTTTCTATTGATACCATTGAATTAGGAAGTAAAATAGAAAATAAAATTCAAGAAGTTATGAAGAAACAAAATGAAAACCAAAGAAAATATCTTTCAGATGAAATGATTAAAGAAATTGAACCACGACTAAGTTGGAAGGAACTTGGAAAAAATTATAGTTTAAGTAAAAGTAATGTATGTTTATTATTAATTAATGAAGATTTAATCATTACAGAAACCATTAAAACTACAAATGAAATTACTGACAAAAAAGAAGAATTTAATTGTATGTTAACATTCACTGATTTTTTATTATTTGGAAGAACAAAACTATTAGGAAAAATTAAAATTAGTAAATACATTGAATTAGCAAATTGTACTCTCGATACTACAACTTGTAAAATTAATGAAGTTATTTTGTTCTATCGTACTATTAGTTATACAATTCAATTCTCAGACGTTTCGGAAAAAGCTATTTGGGTCACCAAATTTAATGAAGTTCCACACAACCAATTAACAAAGATGCCTTTGTGTTGTGATGGAGAATCTGACGACAAACCAAACAATGACAAAATAAATACAACCTCATCTAATGACATCTTTAATATTCTTAACACGTTCCAACCAGTTTCACAACCACCCCCTCCAATACAGAAAACAGAACAAACCAACCAATTAAATAATGGAACAAACACTCCACCACTTGAACAATCAGAAGAATCAATCTTGTAAATTGATTAATTTTTTTCATAAATTTAACATTAAATAACAACTTACAAAAACTAAAAAGTAAAACATAAAAACAAAAATTAATAAAAAGAAGATGGAAGAAAAAGACATCATCATAGTTTGTTGTGGTTCATATAATCCAATTCACTACATTCACTTATTGTTATTTGAACTAACAAAAAACTATTTCAAAGAACATGGAAGAAATGTTGTGAAAGGAATTATTTCTCCTGCTAATGACTTATATTGGAAAAAAGGACTTCTTTCATCAAAACATCGTGTTGCAATGTGTCAAGAAGCAGTAAAAACATCTGATTGGATCATTGTTGATGATTGGGAGAGCAAACAAAAAGAATATGTACGAACATATAATGTATTAAAACATGAAAGAGAGGTGTATGGGAATGAATATGACATTTATTTTATTGGAGCAGATGATTTAATTCCAAACATGATGAATAAAAATTGTTGGGACCAAGTCTTACTAGAAAAAATCGTTAATGAGTTTGGTATTGTTTTCTTTAAACGAACCAACCCTAATTGTTCTGAACAAATCAAAAGCTATCCATTATTTGCTCGTCACTTAAATCATATTTTTATAATAGATTCATTTCAATCACAACACAGTTCAACATTAGTTCGTCAATTAGTAAAATCAAGAATGAGTATTAAATATTTAGTACCTGACGAAGTTATTTATTATATCACACAACATCAACTTTATCTTGAATAATTATTTTAACTAACAAGTAAAAAAAAACAAACCAGAAAAAAAATGAATAAAATATAATTTATTATAATCTCATTTCGTTTTTGTTTTTGAAAAGAAAAGATATTAATTATTTAAAACAAGAAACAAAAATAATAAAAAGTTAAAATAAATAATAAATGGATATTTTTGAGTAGTAATCTATTATTACTTTATTAATAAATTCTTCTATTATGTGATAATTTTGGTAAAAATAACATTAAAAAAACTGAACGTATAGAAGTATAATAACAATACATGTTTTAGTGTTTTTCTTCTATTGCTTTATTGTGTTGGCATAGAAATCAAATTCTGAGTAAGCAACTTCTCCTATCTTTAAGTCATAATCATATTCTATTTCAGAACTACTTTCTTGGATAGTTTCAGGTTGATAAATTTGTTGTTGTTGAGGATCAAGAGCTGTACCTTGAAACTTTTCATCAAATTCATGGAATGAAATAAAATGAGCATCTTCAAAGTTAGATTCTTTTGTACAATCTTTATTACCAATAAAGATTGTAGTAATTTTATTACCATTTTTAAAAAGATTAGAAAGTAATTTATGTACTTTCATTCCAACATTTTGTTCAACAGTTTCTCTTTTTTCAGAAACAAACTTATTTAATGTGGAGTCAAAAAATGGAAGAGAAGAAAGTCTTTTACTTGTTAATTTTTCAGTTCCAATAGCAGATTTAGTGCATTCTACCCTAACTTTAGGATCAACCAAATTTTTTCTTTTAAACATTTCATTAAAGAGATGCATTAAGATTAGTTGATTATTTCTCATTTTTGCACTTGTTTTAATGTTATCAAATTTATTTTCTTTTAGGTCTTCAATCATCATTCCATTCTTATCAAAATCTAATTTACCGTTAGTAACTAAATAATTTATTCCTTCGTCAAATATTGTTCTTCCATTTTCGTCAAGAATTTTTTTTATTGGGAAGTATGCTAACATTCTTTGGGATGAACGTTTAGATTTTGTAATAAGAAATTGCCAATGGAATGATTTAATTGAAGTATAAATACATGCTCCTAAATATTGGTATAGACTATTTGTTGCATTTCTCCTTGTAAGGGCTTGTTTGGTGGCTTTCATCTAAATTTAAATTTAGTTGCAAGTTATTTTTCCTCTTTTTTTAAGACTTTTTAATTATTTTAAGTAATAATATAATTATAAATAATAATATCAATTTGAATATCATTAAATAAGTCATTCATTTAAATTTTTATAGTTTTTTTATAATAAAATTATTAATAATTTAAAACTTTACTGTTCAATTCAACTAACACTATTTACTGTAATGAAGACATCACAAATACAGATTGTTTTTCTGCTTCTGGAACAGAATTTGTTATTTCATTTATTTTTGTTTGAATTGAGTCAGCAATGTCTTCATTTACATGAATATAAATCATAGCTACATCGATATATTTCTTTATAACAGCTTTACATGATTCTGCTGGTTCATTGGTAAGTGCGTTTTTAATTTGTTCAATTAAATTTAATTGTTCTCCTTCAACACAAACAACTAATACCTTTTGGTCTATAAAATGAATAACAAATTGTATTTCTTTTTATTTAAAAACATTATGAAACAAACCTACTTTCTTTGAAACTGGTTTTTCATTTTTATCTTTACTTTTTGGTGTGAGAACTCGTGAACGAATAGAAAATGGTTGTGATGAAATAGACAATGTATTATTAAGGTCTAATGATAAAAATAATTGGTCTTTGTGATGATTTCTTGAACTAGAACAATTTGACCTACATCTATCAAATGTAAATACTTGTCTTCCGTTAACAATTTTTCCTTCAAGAAATTTTTGATTGCTTGAAACACCAACTTCAATAACTTTTCTTCCTTTAGAACAAATAGTACATTCTTTGACTTCATCAGTAGTCCTTACTTTCAATACTCGCATCCTTAATCCTGCATATAAAATATCTTCAGGTCGAATAGAATTTTGTGATAACCAAAGTGGTGGTGCAGAAAATTCGATTGAGAAAGGTACGTGTCGAAAGATTGTTTGAGATGACATGTTTAAGACAGCTGTATTTTCATTGAAAGACGTTGAAATTAGTTGTGATTCTCCTGTCATTTTCTCCTTGACTTTTCGATTTCAAGATTTTTTTCACTTTTTTCATTTCAAAATCTTTATTTTTTCTCTTTTTCTTAGATTTTATAGTTCTTTTTCTCCCGTTTATTTCCATATTTTTTCAATACACTAACAATTCCTTCTTTTGTTAATTCATTGAAATTACTAATAGTTTTATTTATTTTAGGAATATAAAATTAAGTGATACAAACAAAAAAAAAATACCTGATTAATTCACCATTATTTGGTTAAAGTCTGTGTCAATAACAACATTCTTAACATGAGAATAAAATTTCTTTACATCCCCAATAAATGTTGGTCTCTTTTTCTTCGTTATTTTACCAGCTATGTAAAGGGATAAGAATTCTAAATTCTCATTAACAAGGAAATTTGATGCTTTGAATATAGAATTAGCAATTGTAATTCTAACATTCATTGATTTAATATTTGGGTGATTGGTAAGATCAAATGTTGTTCCACAAAGTACTGTCAATGCAGTAACACTTTGGGGAATGAAGTTGCATTCAGATTTCTTTAATTTTCCAATTTCTAAGTTTTGAATTCCTTCTGCAAGTTGGTTTTTAATAGATGAAATAGTAAGAGATGTGAGGGTAGTTGGAATACTAAATGTTTTTGGATATTCTCCTATTGACAATGCCTTTAATTGAGTATTAAACACAATGTCATCTTTTTTATCTACTTGATAAAGAACTAATTTTGTTAATGAAGAAGGACAGTGTAATATTGTTGAAAATGGAATTTCTAAGTCTTCAACATTTAATGGAATTAATTGAATATCACTTGTAGTCATTTTTTTAATATTTAAATTTGAAATATTTTCAATTATTCTTTCATTTCCAGGAGTTAAAGAATCACTTAAGTCTTCGAAACAAGTACAACTGATAGGTAATTTTAATTTAAATCCTGGATTGTCAGTTATAACTTTTGTGATTGTTGTTAAATGTTCAAGATTTAAATCATATAAATGTCCTTTTATTTCAAGTGGATAAAAATATTTTATATATTCTTTTGCCACTTTATCATTTTCTAAAAAGTTAATAAAATGATTTGCTTGTAATTTTGGAATTATTGGGATAATAAATTTATATTGTAAAATTTCTTCTTCACTTTCTTTTCCTTCAGTAAATTTATCAGGTAAGGTAATAACATGATTGTACATATGATTAATGCAAACAGGAAGAGATTTTCGGATAAGTTCAATTTTTGTAAAGTCTGAATTATTTTTAATTTCGTAACAGATACAAATTTTAACATTTTGAATAGTATTTAGTAAGGTAATAATAGAACTTATGAGTGTCTTTTCATCAGTCATTAAATCATGTCCAATAATTAGTTGAATGTATTGTAATGAAGGAAAATTTGAGACGTTTTGGATAAATTCAATAAGACTTTTTGAATTGAATGGTTGTTTTATTATTTCAAGTAATGGCATTGGTCGTTTAAAATTTTGAAGAAGAACACCTCTTCCAACCATTTTAGGACTTGAAATTATTTCTGCATCAAAATAGCCATGAGTGATAGAACATTTATTGAACTTTGTAATTTCATTATCATTTAAAAGTGAAAAGTCAAAAGGACACTTGAAATGAATGATTTTAGGAAAAAGGGATCTTGCTAAAGAATAATAGTCAATAGGACTTGGAACGGTTGACATATCAATCACAGGATTTGATAAAATAGTTTTGTACAATCTCATTATTTTCTTATTGACAAATTGAAATGTAATAAGATCTCTTTTGAGGTGGATATATTGAAGGACTTCTTTAATAAATGATTCTTCGAGGATAACAACCATAAACCACGCTTTTTAGTTCTAAAGACTTTTTTTCTCATATATTTTTAATTTTTGTATCTTTTACATTTCTAAGAAATACAATATAATCTTTTGTTTTTTTCAATTATTAATTGAAATTTATTTTTGTTAAAAGGCTATTTAATAAATCCTGAGGTAATTATTTTTGTGAATATAGGAATAAAAAAAATAGTCACAACAAGAAGTTTTTGAAGGTTGTTGATGAAGAGAATTAGTCTTAGTTAAATAATAGAGAAGTGATTCATTGTCTTAAAACACAACTAAAAATAATTTTTTTAATATTATTTTATAATCCAGTATTTAAAATATATAATAAACTACAAATATTCAAACAGTAATTAATCAAGTAATACTTTGTACTTGCCAATTACAGTCATTCTTAAATACAGTAAAATTCTATGAACTAACAAGATGTATTTATAAAGAAAAATACTAAAATGAAATAAATTCCATTGTAATTAAACCATTAAGAAAGAGTATTGAAATATTATAATAGTGAGAAGATTCAAAACACTAGATAGAATCAAAAAAGAAAGGATTTGTTGATAATACTGAAAAGACATTAAAAAGCGTTTAGTTAATTGATCCAGAATGAATGAAAAATAAGGAAGATATAATGAATAAAAAACTTGAAACGATTAATGAATTAAAAAAGAGAGAGTAAAGTAAACATAATTGAAGAAATGTGAAAGAAATTAAATGAAGACAAAATCAAGTATGAATCTTTAAAGAAACAGAATAAAATCAAAATAGAAAAAAACTTGAGGGAAATAAAAAGAGCAATAGAGATAATACCATTTCACTTTATAAATGTCTTACTTTTATATTCAAAAAAATAATAAACTTAAGAACATAGAAGAAAGTATTTTGAGACATAACTTTGATATTGATAATGATAATATTATGCCTTTAAGTAGAGAGTGTATGAGTCAAGACAATATAAAGAAACTAATATAGAAATGACTTTTTCATGCTTCTTTCATGTTTAAACAAGTCAGATTTGATAATGACCAAAATGAATGGATTAAAAGAAATTGTATTTTTAATAAAAAAATATTGAGTATAATAGTCTTTCATTTATCATTATAGATACTAATAAAAATAAAGTTAATGAATTTATTTATCAAAACATCAATACAGAAAATCTTACATCAATGACCCTCAATCTTTTTTTTGTTCATTATTCAAATCAATAATAAAACAGAATGTAATAAGTTGAATATCACTAACTAACAATATATATTTTATTTGACTTGATTAAAAACAAAACGATTATTTACTTTTGGGTTCGGGAGATATGACATTAATGTTAAGAAAAAAGGAGAAGAAGAAAGTACATATCATCAGCATATGTACCAATATAATGATTATTCTTTATGTAAAAGTTGTCATTTTACATTAACACATTGAGGAATGGTGGTTTTCTTAAATTTTCAATTACAAGTCATTTAAGAAGTGTGTTTATAATCAAAAAAAATATAGTTGGATATACTATCGCTTTAGAAGGAGATGTTTTTAAATTTTATTTTTATTGGTCATTAAATATTTTGGTCTATTACCAAAAAGAAATGATAAAACATTAGACTTTTGTTACTTTAATAACAGTCGTTTATTCACAAGTTTTGGATAATTTAATTCACTCCTTTTTTGGTTCACAAAAAATTCCTTTTCACATTTGGTTTTAAATTGTTTTATCACAAACCTTTCTCTTGTTAAACCACATATTATATATGGATGATTTAAAAATATTGACTAATAGTCTCGATGAAATGGAAAAAGCACACAAATTAACTAAAGAAATATTTAATGCAATATGATTAAAAATTAATGTAGAAAAGAGTGGGATAATGACTAATATTAATAGTCAAATAAATGGTGAATTAGCTGAATTACCAAGAGTAACTAATGATAATCCTTATAAATATCTTTGTATTGAAATAGGAGATAAAGTAAATATTAATAAATATTGTACAAGAATATTAAATGATGTATCTTCTATTCTATCATCACTAAACACTATGAAATATAGCATTCTCAATACAATAAGAAAGATTAATAGTGATATAATCTCCAAATTAAGATATGGATTTTGTATTGTCAAATGGAAACTATGAGAGTTGGAGAATATAGATAAACAAATAAGAAAATCATTAATACAACTCCAATTATACAGTAGAAATATTCCCAAAAGTATGCTATTTGTTAAAATAAATGAATTGGGAATAGGATTAATGTCAGCAAGAGATGAATATGGTAAAGAATTACTAAGAATATATTTAAAATATAAATATCAAGCACAGAAATAGGAGAAATGATAGAATCAATAAAAGAAAATCCAAATTGAATAATTAAAAGAATGAAGAAAGCATTTGGTAAGAAGATTAATTTTAATGAATTAATGAATATAATTAAATGAAAGAAAACACAATGTAAAGGAAGTATTTGAATGTGTAGCTAATGAATTAAATGAAAGATATTTAAATGAATGGAAAGAAAAGAAATGTGGTGAATATATAAGAAATACAAATTGTTATTAACTAAAGTAATACATATACAATCAATAATTTAAATTATTAAAATAATTATATACAATTTAAAATTATATAATAAAAATAACAATAAAAAAACATGAAATATATAGTAATTTATATTATATACTATAATAACCTATTAATATAAAAACATTCTAAAAGGAGCAATGGTATAAATGAAACATACGGAGAGATAAAAAAGGTATTAAATTTCATTGACATGAATGTCATAAATCTTTAAGACACAAACGCATGTATTAATTACCTTTTTTAAAACTATTAATACTTTGAAGTAATATTTTGAAGTTATAAAAAGGCAATAAGTTGAAGATAAATTGAATTAATGATGTTATATAAAACAAATAAAATAAAAAGAGAAAAACTACCAACTAAATAACAAATGTTTGGTCTTGCAGAAGACATACAACAAGGGAAAATCTCAATATCAAATCTTCACCTACGAGATGTTGAAGATATAACAATGAATGAAGAAACAGTTAACACATTTTTTAAAGAATTATATGAATCAGGAGATGGTGATTATTCATTTGAAGGAGACAAAGAAATGAAAGTATATAAATTTATTTTATCAACGCGATGTTCATATTTTTATCAATACTTTAGTTTAGAAAAACAACCAACGATTGAATTAAATAAAGAAACATTAAAAGGATTTATTACATGGTGTTATACAAATAAAATTGAAATGGAAATGAAAGAATGTTTAGAATTACTTCATTTTATTCAAAAGAATTGGATTAATGAACCAATTAGTAGTATATTTTATTGTATTATTAAAAGAATTAAAAATGACTTTGAAGCAAATATATATGATAATTGGGCATTAGTAGAAGAATTCTTTTTAAATGAAGCACATAGAAGATATTATGAAGATTATTTTAAAAGTTTAAGTCAACTTTGTTTAAAAGAAATAATAAATAAAAAAGATTATTCATTTGTAGGAAAGATATTACCATATGTATTACTTTCAATGAATAAACATATTGAAATTATAAAAGAAAAAAAGAATATTGAAAAGAAAAAGAAAACAAAAAAAAATATAACAAAACCAATTGAAACAGATTTAACAGTTACTCTTCTTCATCAAGAAAAAAAACCAAAAAAATTAAATACTAAAGAATTGTTAGAAACAAATGTTCATAAAGAAAAAAAATTATCGAAAAAAGAAATTTCTAATGGTATTGAAGATGAATTATTAATTTCTTCAAATCGTCTTGATACTCAATTCCCTTTAAATAGTCAAAACACTTCTTTGATTAATAAACTTCTTTCTTCTTTATTAAGAAATAAAGCATCATTCGCATTTAAAGAACCAGTTGACCCTCAATTAACAGGTGCAATTAATTATTTTGATATTATTAAACATCCAATGGACCTTGGAACAATAAAAAATAAATTAAAAGATAAAACTTATAAAAATGTAAATGAAGTACTTTCTGATATTGATTTAGTTTGGAATAATGCATTTAAATATAATGCCCCTAATTCTGAAGTTTGGAATCTTGCTAAAACAATGTCAGATGCATATGAAAAGAAACTATCAACAATGAAATTTTCTATTTAAAGTATTTTAATTGAAACTTTTTTTTTTCATTAAAAATTAAATATTTCTTGGTTTATCAGACATTCTTTGTCTTGAGTTACTTAATGGAAATTTACATAAAATTGATATATAAATGTTTTTTTTTATTTGTCAAATTCATTCTATCCCCTTCAGTATGGAAACACTGAAATATTTGAAGTAATGTTTGAAGTAATAATAAATTATTGACTCAATTTACAAGACAAATAGTCAATTGTTTCTGTGTATGAAGAAGTAGCTCCTTGAATAAACATTTCAAAATAACATCAAGAAAAAAATAAGAAATATTACACTCTAATATTACTTTAACTGTTTCAGCAAAGTTACTCTTAAACGATATCACATCATCCAATTATGTAGCATGTGTAGGCAATTTGCCAGTAAAATAGTACATCATGTTCTCAGATATGATGGTAGTATTATAAACCACGTTTCAAAACCTTTTTTTAATGTTTTAATGAAGTGATACAATAGAGAATAAATCTTAAATGTTTTTCATAATGTCTTGATAGTAATAAGCTATACAAATTCATGACTTCATAGTAAAAGGATAAAACCATAATCATTTTGTCACTAAAAATGGTTATGCTTAATAATTACAACCAAATGTGAGTAATTCCAAATCCAAAAGTAATTTTTAATTCAACTAAACGATTTGACAGTTCAGTGCATGGAAAGAGATGTACTCTTAAAGCTTTGATGATGAGTAATAGAAAAATAGTCATATAAGACATTTTGTCAGGAATAGTTGGTTAAGTAAATATAATTTACATTCTTTTATGAGACTTCATTCAAATAGGGGATTGTCACAACGTCTTTTGATGTACAACTCAACCTTGCCTTTGAAGGAATATTTCTTTTTTGTCGAGAAACACTAACTTTAAGTTTTTTCTTGTTGGTTCTTTGGACATCCTGTTTGATTAAGTCATCCAAATTAATGAATTTACTTTTTCCATCGTTAGATTAACTAAAGAAGACAGTGCTGTCTTTCTTTCAAGATGTATTTCTTTTGTAAAAATAACGAAAACAATTAATTAAGTACTGACAAAATTGATTTCTATTATTCTTTGCTCAGGAGAGAGACTAATCCCATCTCTTCGCTGTTAAAATAAATAAAAATACTAAAAATAAAAATAAAAAGAAAAATTTTTTTTTATATTCAAATGAAAAAAATTTCATATGAATATCAACCAATACAAATTAATTCTTTTTCTATTAGTGGAAATCTTCCTATTGGGACTTTAATAATTAATAATGAAGAAATGATAGAATTAGAAAGACAAGGGAATGGTATTATAAAACAAATTACTCTTGAAATAACATTAGAAGAAAGTTGTAATGGTAAAGAAATTTTTTTTGATTTTAAAAAAGGAAAAATAGAAACAAAACAAAATGAAAGAAATGAAAAAATACTTATAGAAAAAGGAGTAAAACAAGGAGATATTATAAAAATTAAAAAATTTATTACAACATATTATTTTATGATTGAAATTAAACCATCACCGCAATTTGTTATTGAAGGAGATATTGTTTATACTTCAGTATTTACTTTAGAAGATAATAATTATTCAATTTTATTACCAAATGGAAATATTAAACAATTACATTTACCTAATATAACACAAAATTCTCTTGTTATATTAAAAGAATGTGGAATATTTTTAAAAAATAAACATCGTTATGGAGATCTTTATGTAAATTTTTTACAATACAAAAATATGCAAATTTTTACAACATTAGAAGAATATAATCTTAATTATTCTTTTAGAACTTCTTTAGAACCTCTTAACAAAACACCTACAACTTTTATTTCTATTCAAAAAAATGAATTATTAACATATCAACCAATTTTAATTTTAAGAGAAATAGAAGATGATAATTCATTTCTTATAAAATATAAAAAAGTGTATTTAATACCAAATTACTCACAAACACCTTATTATGTCTGTTTTAAAAATGATGGAAATAAATCAATAAATATGTTACAAGGTGATATTGTCTTTAAAGTTATTCTTTAATATTCTTAAATAAAAAGTAAAAAAAAAATTAATTTTTTTTTTAAGCTTTAGTTGCAGTTAACACTTCAATGTTAGATTCTTTAGTTGAAATTTTCTTTATAAAATTAATAAATTGAGCAAAATGAGTTGTTTTCATATGTGCATCTAATTTTTCTTGTGATTCCCATTCTTCAATCATAATATAATGAGTTGTATTAGTCACTTCATTTACAAATGAATATGAAATACAACCAGGATCTTTTCTACTAGCATTAACCATTGTTGTTACTTCAGCAAGTAACTCAGGATCTTCTGTTAAGTACATATGGCAATGAACAATAACAACCATTAACTGATTAATAAGTTCTAATAACCTTTTTATTCTTTCGTTTTTAGAGTAAAACAAAAAGTTTTCTAATTAAAAAAAAAAATAGAAATGAAACTTCAATCTTATTTTTATTGATGTTTTTCATTTTATTATTTTTAACTGAAATTTTATCTCTTCTTCTTCTTGTATTAGCTTCTTCTTATCCAACTCTCTTTTGTTAATGTAAAATATCTTCTATTAATTATAAACAAAAAAAAATACCTTCAAATTACTTATTTTGTTTTAATATTTCAGTTAATTTGAAATTCACAATGTTTTGTGCATCTAATACTGCTTGCATAGTTTGCTCAATTGTAATAGGTCCATCAATTTTATTATCAAGAATCGTTTCACTAGAAGAATTAACTGAATTATTCAATGTGATTTTAACTAGTGGGTTACTCATTAGTTTGTTATTTATCAAAAACTAGTTTTCAATAGTAAAAGAAATAATAAAGTTTTATCTCACTTTTAATCTTATCAATAGAACTTAAAAATCAGTCATGAAATCTAGGTTTGTGTGATCATATTCTCTGTATTAAATCTAAAAATCACAAAAAATCACGAAATTTATAAGTAGACAATCTGTATTTTCTAAGTATGCAACTAGATTTAATATTCTTTTCCCACCTCAATCATCTAAACAATTAGAACAAAGAATGGAACAAATTACAAATGGATCTCTTCTTGAACAACAAATATTGGCATCAAAAAGAGATGAAAAGAAAGAAGTTTCTATTCAAGAAGAAAGTTTTTCTGGAATTCATGAAGAAGAAAATAAACCAGAAACACAACCGAATTTGTGGGGAGGTATTGCTTTGAGAAATGAAAATTCAACTGAAAAGATTAAAGGAGACAGTAACCCTGTTTTAAGAAAACAACCTAAAAGAACTTCTGTTGTTGAGCTTATTGGAAGTTCAAAGCCTGTTGTTCAAGAAAAGGCCGATGGACATAGACTTACTGTTTTTGTAAACAAAAAAGATAATCCTCATGATGGTGATTCATTTGGTGATACTCTTTTCAATGCACCAATTTCTGTACCTCCAAAATTGTCTATTGGAGATTTTAATGAATTTACTGTTCAAAAAAGAGTTAGACAAAGTGTTTTTGAAAGGGAAGACAAACCTAAAGATACTAATAAGACAGTAGAATTAAATGTGAACAATAATTCTGTTCCTGCATTTTCAAATACATTTGCAGATTTTAAAATTCCATCACAAGGAGATTTTAATGGGGTTTCATCATTTGGCTCAGGGACAAAACAAAACCAATCAAACCCATTTGCTTCTGGCACTTTTTCTTTTGGTAGTTTAGGGCTTCAAGCTGAACCTCCTAAAGAAGAAAAGATTGAAAAAGAAGTTGAAGAGCAACCACAACAAGTTACAAAAGAAGATACACAAAGTGGACCTTTTGAAAATAAATATTATACTCCACAAAAACGTGAATTTGTTTCATTTGAAGCTCCAACAATTCCAACAGAAAAAGAAGTTCCTTCACTTACCGCAAAGTTAGAAGATGAAAAAGTAGTTGAAGAAAAAAAGATTGAAGTAACAAAAGATGGATTCAAATTTGATTTTGGAACAAATGAAACAGCAAAATCTGAAAATACATCAAATGGATTTTCTTTCGGAAATATTGATTTTGGAAAAGGATTCAATTTTGGTACTTTTTCGAGTGTTGAAAAAACAAGTCAAAAGGAAAATGAGAAAAAAGACAATGACAAACCAACAGAACAGACTAACACCGCTTCTAATCCTTTCACTAATTTCTCATTTAATGGATTTAATAGTACTGTTGATACTAAGAGCAATGAAAAACCAAAAGAAGAAAATCAAACAAATAATATTTTTGGAGGATTCTCATTTAATGGATTTGGAACCACTGATAAGAAAAAAGATGAAAATACTTCAACTTCTATCTTTGGAAACTTTTCATTTGATGGATTTGGAACCACTGACAAGAAGGTAGATGAATCTTCTAAAGAAGAACAATCTTCAAATAATTTATTTGCTGGACTAAAAGGTAATGAAAATAATGAAGATAAAAAGGTTCAAGAAAATGGGTTTAAACATGCCGATTTTGGAAATTGTTTTATATCTACTGGGTTTGGAAATAACGAAAAACCTAAAGAAGAGACTCAAAATACTATAGGAGGTTCATTTAATAATGGTTTAAGTACAAATAATGCATTTAGTTTTGGAAATAATTCTAATTTAGGAAATCCATTTAATCAATCACAAAACAATAATACAACTGAAAAAGATGATGATAAATTAGAAGAAGAAGAAAATAAAACTGAATTTAAGCCAGTTATTAAGATGGAAGTTCAAGAACAAAAGGTTGATGAAAACCAAGAATACGTAATGCAAAGTGTTATTAAGATTGCTCGTTTGTATCAAGAGAAAAATCAAGAAGGAAAAGTCATTAGTACTGAATGGAGAGCCCTTGGGTCTGAGGCAACACTTAGTGTGATTAAGAATAAACAAAATGGTAAAATTCAACTAAATGTTATAAATACCGCTACAGGGTCTCCATTTGTTCTCTGTTATTTACAAAAGGGAGTTGTTTCTATTAAAAAAGCAACTTCAAATAGATGTGTGTTCAAATGCTTTGAAAAG